GGAAATAAATGCTGGGCCCAGCCAACGGCACCCACATCCCCTGTGTGAATTTGTGACAATGCGGTGGCTTTAAGAGGTTATTTTGGTCCTGTTGTTTTTTTATGAAGAGAGGTTTTAAGACAGAGACGCCAAGCTGTCTACTTGGAACTCCAGTGAAGTGAGGCCTGGTGCATTCGTTTTAAAGTCGGAACAATAGAAGCAGCCTGGATGGGTGTGGCCAGCTCTCGCAGACCAGGGTTTCTAGCTTAATTTTCAGTTTTTAGGTTTAGTTTTAGACAATTGCTGTTGGAGTCTCAAAGGGCTGGAGTTTTCAAACTATCTTTTCCCTTTCTCAGTTACAGCTGGAAGCTGGGGTTTCTCTCTCTGCCACTGGGTCACCCATGAGGCAAATCTACATTTCAGAAATTTGCCGTTTTTTGCCAAGGGATGCGTTTATGGCATGTTACTATATTGGAACAGTTAGTTAGTGATAGTTACTGTATCTGTTATTCTGTTAAGTTTTCCAACAGAGTTTAAGTTATTCGAAGTTCTTCTTTCTTTTGATGTATTATAACTACAGTGTTTGAATAAATTATGTTTCGCTTAACGTCGAGTAGATTTACCAGTCATATCGCATCTGGATGCAGTGCGTTACATTTGCTTCAGAAATAAGAAAAAGTTAGGGTATAGGCTGTCTTCTTAAAATATTTTGAGAGGGTCTGGTCTGGCCCACAACAAAGTTGGGGGGTGCAGTGGAGAGGCAATGGCCTACTGATATTATTGCTGGACTGTTAATCCAGAGACATAAGAACATAAGAACTAGGAGCAGGAGTAGGCCGTCTGGCCCTTCGAGCCTGCTCCGCCACTCAATAAGATCATGGCTGATCTTTTCGTGGACTGAGATCCACTTACCTGCGTTCTCAACGTATCCCTTAATTCCTTTATTGTTCAAAAAAAATCTACCTTTTTTTTAGAAACGTTTACTGAAGTAGCGTCAACTACTTCACTGGGCAAGGAATTCCATAGATTAACAACCCTCTGGGTGAAGAAATTCCTTCTCAATTCAGTCCTAAATCTGCTCCCTCTAATCTTGAGGCTATGCTCTCTTGTTGTAGCTTCACCCGCCAGTGGAAACATCCTCTCTACTTCTATCTTATCTATTCCCTTCATAATTTTATATGTTTCTATAAGATCCCCCCTCAATCTTCTGAATTCCAATGAATATAATCCCAATCTACTCAGTCTCTCCTCATAAGCCAACCCCCTCAACTCCGGAATCAACCTAGTGAACCTCCTTTGCACCCCCTCCAGTGCCAATACATCCTTTCTCAAGTAAGGAGACCAAAACTGCACACAGTACTCCAGGTGTGGCCTCACCAGCACCTTGTACAGCTGCAACATAACCTCTCTGCTTTTAATTTCAATCCCTTTAGCAATGAAGGACAAAATTCCATTTGCCTTCCTAATTACTTGTTGTACCTGCAGACCTACCTTCTGTGATTCATGCACAAGGACACCCAGGTCCCTCTGCATAGCAGCATGCTGCAACTTTTTACCATTTATGTAATAATCCTTTTTACTATTACTCCTACCAAAATGTATGACTTCACATTTATTTATATTGTATTCCATCTGCCAGACCTTTGCCCACTCACGCAATGTATCTATGACCCAGGTATGTTCTAGGGACCTGGGTTCGAATCCCGCCATGGCAGATGGTGGGATTTGAATTCAATTTAAATAAATCTGGAATTAAGAGTCTAATGATGACCATTGTTGTAAAAACCTATCTGGTTCACGAATGTCCTTTAGGGAAGGAAACTGCCATCCTTACCCGGTCTGGGCCTACATGAGACTCCAGACCCACAGCAATGTGGTTGACTCTTAACTGCCCTCTGGGCAATTAGGGATGGGCAATAAATGCTGGGTCTAGCCAGCGATGCCTTCAAATTGTGAACAAATAAAGAGGAAAAGTGAGTTAAGAATAAGATCTTGCGGGAATTCACAGGGCAGATGCTGGAAAGGATGTTTTTCCTTGTGGAAGAGACTAAAATAGGAGGTAAAGATCATACAATCCCACCAACCCAGAGGGCTACCCTCCCACTAGAGAGAGAGAGAGACAACTGGCAGAGGTTGGACCTGAGGGTCACCACACTGTAGGCGAGAGGAGAGGTTAGGAAGGAGAGTGCTTCAGAGTAACTTCAGCCAAAACTTTGTTGTGGATGTAACTCTGTCTTGCAGACTGGGGTTGGACAGGAGTGTGTATCTGAGGACCCAGATAGATTAGCCATGACCTTTGCTGAACGTTAGAGCAAGCTCCAGGGAGCTGAATGGTTCACCCCAGTTCCTCACTGGTGGAAGTGGCCACTAACAACATAATCAACGCCAACATCCTTTGCAACAGACATCCTCAAACCCATTTAAGGAGCACTTAAATAGGAGAACATTGGAAAGATTTTTGCGTGCTCCGACAAGAAAAGCGAGAGGTTGAGATCAGGCCCAGCCAGCCTGGGAATCTGCCAGGATTAATGCCATTTAAAAAAAGCTAAAGAAAACACTACCCTTGCCAGGTCAGCAGGTAGCCGTCAATCTGATGGAAGCAATCAAACTGGTACACTCGACCAAGCGAGAGCACGGGGCTTTATGGGGTTTTCGTGGCGATTCTGGAAGAGGTTCCATAAGCAGTTACCAGAAGCAAACACATAAAAATCAACGGAGCTCCGTGGAGACACGACAGGCTCACACACACTCACACACACTCACATTCTCTCTCACACACACTCACACACACTCACTCACACTCACATTCTCTCTCTCTCACTCACACACAC